GGTTAGGAAAACGTGGTGTTCTGGCATGGTTTTGATGGTTGGACTGTATTAGGAATGGACAGAAAAGCTGAGCTGGGCAGAAAAAGCTACTCAAGGAGGGCTTCTTCCAAATCGCATTCTTTTCAATGGAAATTTACCCCTATATTCGGGTTAGGGGTGTGTTCCAGGGTTGGGTTAGGGTTAGAAAAATGAGGTGTCCTAGCATTGTTTTGATTGTTGGAATGTGTTTGCAATGGGCAGAAATGCTGAGCTGTGCAGGAAAAGCTACTCAAGGAAGGCTTTTTTCAAATCGCCCTCTTTTCAATGGAAATTTACCCCTATATTAGGGTCAGGGGTGTTTACCAGGGTTGGGTTGGGGTTAGAAAAATGAGGTGTCCTGGCACCAGGGAAGGGTTACGCTTTGGAAAACGAGGTGTCCTGGCATGGATTTGATGGTTGCAATAATTTTGGAATGGGCAGAAATTTTCTTCTTGAAGATTCCTTTTCTAGTTTTCTTAAGAAAATTGTGTGGGGAGGTCTTAACCAGGCCATAGTTATGGTTTCATCTGCCATTAAGTATGTAAGTATCCACTCGAGTTTTACAATAACTGTGTTGCATTTTTCCAATGTAGTATCAATAGAATTTTTAGGCACCAGTCCTAGGGGGAAAAAGATCTTTAAAATGTTCTGCCCTGGCCATGAGGTCTGTAGCTCTCCTTTTAATTGTTTCATCCACATGTGATCTGTTAGCTTCTGCTCTGCTCTGCTTTGTTGGTACAAAATTAGTTAACTGAAACCTTTCAATCTGGAGGTGGAATGTTCTAATAAAGGATTGCATAAGTTGCCACTCACTTACGGCACTTCAGTGATTATTCATGGAAAAATTATGCAAAGGAAAAAACAGTGAGATCCTTTGGGATATTAAAGCTACGTGGTCAACTTTTCCAAATGTTCTTGCCACAGCTTTCTAAACAGCACTCGTCAGCTTCTTTTGGGCTTCTCTCAAGCTCCCCAGTAGAAGCGGCTTGTAATAATGTTTTAATGCCTTTTATACATTATTTCTGGATATATGTCAGTGTTGTCTTGACAGTAATCTGGAGGAATAATGAAAACCAATCTTGCTTCTCCCTGTGTGCAGTGATTGGAAAATCATGGTAGCTGCCATTGGTAGGACTGGGAATTTTAGGAATGTTTCTAGCAGTGGAGTGCGCTAGGAGCAGGGCGGGTGGGGGACTCATAAACAGGAGGGGGCTGGAAGCCGATTACATCATTTAGAATGACTTGGTCTCTCTCCATTCGTTCGTTTTTACTTGGACTCTCTTCCTGCTCTTCAAGCCGAGGTGCTGGGGGAAAGAGATGGCGCACTTGGGCAAGCATTCCCACAGGACACCAGACATGCCCTAGGTGTTTGCTGAGATTCGGGAGATGAGGAATGTCTCAGTGAGGTTGCGGGGCATGGTTTGGCTCGAGGTCCTGGGAGGAAGGACAGGAGGTGATTATTGCAAGGGCAGGTCCTTCACTGCGCAGGGCAGTGTCTGGGATCAGCTGGACGTTCAGCCAGAGGGAGGCCTGCATCGGTAAGAGGCCCGGTCAGATGAGCAGAGGGTGGAGAGGAGGCGGCTCGCCTTCAGAGCCCCTTCTTAAGGGGTGGGGCACAGGCGCACCCCGAACGAGAGTTCTTGACGATGATCACCAGGTTGGTTTCACCAGACCGCTCTCTGCATGCTTGGGAGACTTACGCTGGGTGATTTACGCTGGAAGCAATCAAGAATGTTTTGTAAGGAAAGCCGATTGCAGCAGGTGTTTGTTCGAAGGGGGGACCCTGGATTGCAACAGCAAGGGCTCTCGGTGCAGCTGACAAACAGTAAGAACAAGGCTTGTCCCTATTCGCTGGCCTACAATCTCAGAGACATAGCATGGAAAGGAAAAGGGATAGTGGGGGAAGAGGGCAAAGGCAAATTCAGGCACCGGTCCCTAAATTTTAAACAAGTTTGAACAGGGGAAGCCCACCATAGGTGGTCTTTCAGCACAAGGGTCAGATTGCTGTGCTTCCCATTTTCTGCTGCTGCAGCTGTGAAGGAACAAAAATGGCAAAGATACCGTGTGAATTCATATTCCCATCACAAAACAAATAAACAGCTTGTGATAATTTTAAAACACCTACACCACATTTAACCTTGAAGCCCTCACAAGGTTTTTAAGACACCGTAAAAGCTCACTTGACTAACAAAAGTCCACCATAAAATCCGTGTGCTGCCGCGGTTGTTGTGGATGTTGCGCAAGGATCTTGGTTTGCGCGTGGCTGATTCATTCTGTGCAGGGGGACTGGAGCGGGACAGGACCGAGCCCACGTGCTTTAGAAAGACACACGGGTGAGTCACAGACTTCTGTACACACGAAAACAAAGCAGGCCTCGTGTGTGTGGTTTACTTGAATAAGTTAAGAGATGAATTTTTGGAAATGTACATGACCTTTTAATAAAAGGCCTTTCCAGAAGCAACGTAATTCCAGAGTGACTCACACTCCTAATTGTCTTACAGACTTGCTGGTGTAGCAGAGCAGTCATGAACGTAAGGGCTTAAGAGCCACGCTGGATCAGGCCAGTGAGTCCCGCGCTCAGTTTGCCCCGTGGCCAACAGTCCCGCCCACAGGGTCCCCCGAGCAGGATGGGTGCAAGACCTCCGCCTGCCCGAGCTCTCAGCTACTGGGTGCGTGCAGCTCTGGTGATGGCGGCAGTTTGTAGCTAGTAGGGGAAGACGCTCCTTTGGCCACATGGATCTGTGTGTCTTTGCAATGGAAGCCAAGATCACAAGAGAACAGGCTTCTTCATGGCATGACAGATACCTGTAAGATTTGAAACCCTTTCTGCCAGTTTTTCCTTCTGAAATGTCTGCCTTACTCTGCATGTTCTGTATTGATCTCTTATTTCACCTTCACCGGTTTCACAAAAGGTGTGGCTATGAGTCTTGAACTAAGAAAAATAGAAATGGAGAGAGCACTTCTCCCAGGATGAAGCCCAGACCCGAGATGGGAGCCACACACGTGACCTGACCGCTTTTCACCCACTGCTCTCCAGCCCCTTTGAGTAGACAGTTCGTTCCGTTCTAAGAAGCTGCTGCCCTTTTACTCACTTCAGTTATGTCAAAACCGTGGAAATGGTTGCAAAACATGCTAGCACAACTTGCCCACTCAGCTGCGACGGCTTCCTGGCGCTCCCCTGTGCAAACCACGTTTTCCCCAAATGCAGAGCACCATGTTCCTGCAGATGTGCTTTTGACACACCGAGCCATGTGCAAACACAAAACATGATCTTGTAAGATCTGAGACTGCTTCAGACACGTGGAATTCTTGCACAGAAAACACTTTGTATCATAACACCATCAAATACACACTTAGATTTGTTCTGTGTGTTAACTGCACGTCTGCAGCTGAGAAGCCACTGCTAACACCAGCTTCATAACATAACATGCCTCATGCTAATGATACTGGTGTAAGCGGTCATTGTGCGGGACTGTTTTTATTTCCCTGGGTGAAAATGCTGTCCCGGCAAGATACACCTAATGTTTGACTCGCCCCGAGGTGAACAGAACAAAAGAAACCTCACTGCAAGTTGCAAGATATTTTTCACATCCACTTAGCAAGCGGTTTTCAGCAAAGAGGCTGAAGTGCCTGTAAGATGAGGAAGCTGCTCTTTCTGTTCGCTGGGCAGTATGGCCTCTTCATCAGGATCTAAGACCTCCTGCCTTGGTGGAGGAAATCTCTGCTCTCAAGCTGCCTACTCCAGCCTGTCTCATGCTCACTTACTTATGTACATGCAGAAATGGAATGGGCTTACCTCCTTTGAGGACACAACTGAAGAACTTGCTATGACTCACTGTGTACACGAGTTTAAAGTGTGTCGCCTGTTGGCATCAACATCTCAGCCCTCCAGAGTTGACACCTGTGTGGTTCTGACGTGCATAAAACATCCTTGCATTTCCCCTGGAAACTGATGCTCCCACTCAGTTCTTAAAAAAAAAAAAAACCTGCTTACAGGCAAGGAGGGCTTCAAACCAAACGCCAAGCACATGTTTTTGTTCGGCATTAATGATCACACCCGAGGTATCGTTCTGGCACCGTGTCTCACGCCTCTGGCATAGCTCTGTCATAGAATAGCCAAGAATGTGTGTGTATTTGTATGTGTCAGGGTGGGGGTCAGGAAAGCAAGGGCAAGAAGTATGCTTCGGAACCGTGCTCGTTTGGTTTAATTGGACGGATTCTGGATAGGAACATTTGGTGTGGCCCCAGCAGGCAGGACCCGGTACTGGGGAGAGCACCTGCGCTTGACCGCGGCGACAAACCAAACCTCCTTTGAGCAGATCCAGGTGGTACCAGTCTGTCTTTACGAGACTGCTCGGCTCTCCTAGGAGCAAAGCAATCGCCCCACCCCCGCCCCACAGTGTCTTTCCCGGAGTTTAGTTTAGCATTAATTGGTGTCTATTTTGTAGGTCCGTCAGAGGTGTCAGCAGCTGTGAGGTTCAGCAGGAGGCCAACCTGTCCCGATGCCTCGGTGGCAGCCAGCCTGCCCACTCCTCCTGTACCAAGACACAGGAAGAGTCACAGCCTGGGAAACAAGTGGGTGCTCCGACCTGCATCAGACCTCAGAGTTCATTAAGCTTTAATTCGGCACGTGAGAGCTCAGCCTTCCCGAGTGTCCCTCGTCCCCCTCTCATCCCGAGGGAAACGCCTGCCGCGGAACTTCGCCTTATCCCGCAGGCTGCCCTCGGTGCCCCGCTGCCCCCCAGCTCGTCTGGGGTTGGGCAGACATTGCTGGAGGGACCCTCCTTTTTGTCCAGCGCTCACTCGCAGGCCAGGTAAACGGTGGCTCGGCCTCGCCTGTGCTTGCCGAAATAGGCTGGACAGGACCATGGTGGGACTCGCAACACGGTGGCAGGATCAGCTTTCTGGTCAGAGCTCGTGCATTCTGCCTGGTGCTAGAAGCGGATGGGGTGGAAGGGCCTGCTCCTTGCCCGGTTTCATCTCACTGAATTCCCTTGGCGAGAATTCAGGGCTCTTGAGTCTCACAATCGGCCACATTCTGACCAGCAACATGTACAGAATCATCCGAGGAAGAACATGAAAATCTCCATCTGTATTAAGCTAAGAGTGGCTTCATTACAGAGCCTAGTCCTAAAAGCTGGAGCAGACGAACGGCCCCAGGCAGAGACGTTCTGTGTAAGGGCTTGGCTTGCTGGTGCTCACGGGCACCAGGCGGTCAGGTCGTGTCCGTGTGGGAGTTGCGTGGCTGGATGTTACCCGATCACCTTTTGCTTTTCTTTTCCTTTTCCACTTCTCCAGTATGATGTGTCAGTTCAGTGTAGTTGAGAGTAAAAGCGCCACGTTCCCAACAGAGAAGCCGCGCCACCTGCTGGATGATAGTGTGCTCGAGTCCCACAGCCCTGTCAGGAACCACACTTTAAGCTCTGTTTTCACCAATGGGGTTTCCCTAGGTAAGTATCCGATGGTCCCAGCCTGGACCCTTGCTGGATGCTCTGCTTGTCTGTCCCTCCTGCCTCGAGAGGCTTCTAGACATGCGGGATCGGGAAAAGCGTGTTTAGTTTCAGGACAGAGAATCATGAGCCCGTTGGAGAGAAGGTGAACCCGATGGACACATCGAAGACCCGGTCTCTGCTTACCTAAGCGCCACGCACAGCTCACCTCCTCTGTGGCTCACTGCCACGAAACGTGCCCGTAGACACATGTAGACCACACGGTCGCTGGAGTGGCCTCGCTAGAGTGTGGCAGTGAGGAGTGGGAGTGCTTGATCGTGGTGCTCTTCTTTGGGTCCTGCCAGCGCCGATGTAAGATGGAGGCCCGCTAGTGAGAGCCTGAGCAGGTTTGCAGTGACGTGGCGTGAGGAGCACCTTTTAAAAGGCCACTTTTATGAATGAGCGCCATAGGAAGTGGGAAGCGTGTCTCCCCCAGTTGGCTGCAGATAAAAGCTCTGTTCAGCGAACAACGCTGTTCTGAGATGCCCGGTAGCCAACAGCGTATCAGAAGAAAGCGTGACTGCTCTTCCAAAGCAGTGACCCCATAGCCGCCGAGAAAGACACACTCCCCAGGTGTAGAGGGGGATGTGCCATGGCATGAGCTGCTCTTGACATGAAACGGCTTCGTCCGATGCATGATGCACTGTGATTTGCACTTAATGACCGCGATGTGGATGAGTACCGTCATCACACGTCACCCGACCAGCCGTCACAGATCACTGGCCAACTGAGCGCTTCCCAAGCAGTGGAGTTGGTGAGCATCCAGCCGCTAGTCCTGTAACTGAGCACCCGAGCAAAAGACAAAAGCCATTCAGACCGTCCTGGGAGAATGAGTGCCTTTTCACGGTTACGGTCACACCTTGAGATTCACTTCAAGTAAATTTGATGGGAAATTGCTGACTCCTCAGAGCCCTGATCCCATAATGAGCGGGACGATGAGCAGAAGCAGGGCACCAGGCCGACTGGTCATGGCACCAAGCCGTCGCTTGTTCCATGTCACCTTCTCTGTGTCTTGATTAAAGGAAATCAGTCACCCTTCTGTTGTCTGTCCTTTGTCTGTAGCTGGCGTGATTGTGTTTAAAAAAGACATTGTGCCAATCGGAAGGTACTGTATGAGCGTAACTGTTCTCCATGCAGCTAGCTGTGTAAATAACCGCTGGAGCAGGATTCCTGAACTGCTCCACACATGGAACGCTTGTGACTGGTCAGGACAACTCCCCCCGGGTGGTAAAACAGAAGCAATACCCAACATCGCTTTTCATGCCTTTTCTCATGGACTTCGGTGATGTGCTGTCTCTGCCATGTTTTGAACGGGGTACGGGCTGGTTCTCTGCTCCGTTTTTCTTGTGCCATCATCATCTCTGTCCTTTTGTTTTGTAGGGAGCAGTGAAAGCTCAGAATTTAGCGAGGAGCCTTCTTCGGGGCTTGAAAGGTGAGTATCCCCTTTGCCAATGAACAACGTCCTTGGATTGGTGCTACGAAACGGAGGCAGGCCACGTTTTGACCTACAGCTCCCATCAGCCCTAGCCATCAAGCCCATGGTGAGGACTGATGGGAGCGGCAGGCCAGAATGCTTATCCTTTTGCGCTGCATCCTGCCTTCCTGCCAACACTGACACTCAGGGCAGCTTACAGGCCTAATTCAGAAGGCCTGGAGGGCCCCAAGTCGCCTGCCCCTAGTGTAAAAGCTGTGATTCATTTTACGGCCATGTATATGTCCCAGCTGGTGCCTTCCGTAGCCAAGCTTAAGTAACTTAAATCAGCGGTGGGGGTGGATGAACGAGCAGTGCTTGCGATTGCCAGGATTCTCAGCCCTCACCCTGCACCCAGTTCCTATTCCCACCGGCAGGTTTTTGTTTGCGGTCCACCAATGTGAAAGTGGCACAGATCCGTTGGGCAGATGTGCGCTTGCACAACTTCCTCCTGTTCAATTTGTGCAAAATCTACATTAACGCAAGCTTCCCATATAGACTGAAGTGAGAGAGAATTGGAATAAATTACGACATGCATGTCCATTTAGGAAAGGTGTGGAAATCAAATGAGGACACGTGCTTGGTAGGTTGCGAACATCCGCCTGCGTCCTTGACTGGGGTGGGCAGCTTCTCCCACTGGACCCCTCTGTGGCCGTGCCCTTCCCCTCTCCCCACACACTGCTGACAAAGTGCGTGTCGCTGCAGCAGCAAGAAAGGTGGACTGTGGCCCGTTTAAGGGGTGACGGCACCTCTTTGTCTCTGAAGCGCGGTTGCAATGGGGCACCGGAAGGGCCACCAAAAGGCCAGGAAAGGCTGCTTGTAGCTCATATGTTGCCCACCCGACTCTTAGTCACTAATTGCACTTTTAAGTAATTGCTCAAATCATGCAGAGAAATGGGGCGGGGGGGGGGGGTGGCAGAAAGCAGTCCTTATGAGGTTAGAAATGAGGCTGAGTTTTTAAGCTCAGCTCCTCCAAATAGTCTACATGTGCCCAACAAGCTGTGCATTTCACACGCAACGTGCTTCTTGTGTTCACCAATGCCCCTAAGTGCATTTGAGCCTCTAGTCCTCCCAAACCTTGGAATGAGCCTCACTTGGGGGCATGGCAGCCAGCGGTTTCCTCAGCACCGATCGTCTTCAGAAACCCAAAGGCCGTTTCCATGACTGGCTCACTGACCAGTCCCTCTTAAAAAGGCAGAAAAGGGTTTGGGCTCCAGGCACGCCCTTTCTGAGTAGTGATCACTCACTCTGGATTCATTTCTCATATCAGGTTCTTTTTTCCGAAATTGTTCAGGGAAATGGCTCTGTCATAAAATAGCTTAAGTTGCCCTTCTGCTCCCTTGTGCTGAGTCCCTCAAGCACCGTAAGGCAAAGCTTGGCAGGCGGCCAGCCGAGTGCCTGATAGAGACGCCGATGCCTCCTCCTGGTCCAGCAGTCCCACCAGCAGACACGGAGTGCACCAGGAGGAGGAGGAGGAGGAGGAGGAGGCAGGGCTGGAGTAATTCCTCACCGGTATGACACCCGAATTCCCTTTGATTCCTTGCCAAACAGCCCCTTCCTGCATTAAAGGGCGGGTGCGTGCAAGGGCTTCTCCTGCTATTTACTGAATGGGGAGTTTGCTACAACTTCAAAGCTTCCCTGTTGAAGGCCATCCTCGGATGGCGTCTGTAGCGGACGGCATCGTTCAAGAAAGCCCAGTGCCACATTTAGCCACATTTTTACAGGGAGGAATTTTCCATCGGCACCAGTACCGGTTGCTCCAGTCCAGTCTATTGCCAAGACCCAGTCCTGCTCTTGTTATCTTAATCTACTGCTACTGTAGGCAAAATGACAGCAAACATCCTTTTTGTTTGCTAGGCATGATACTGTCTCCTCTCTAAGCAACACCATGGAAGGTTTTGATCTTCTTTTCTTCCATATTGGAAGTGGACCAATGCTGGAGGCCATGATAGTGGATACACTGGGACACAACAGTTACTCAGATGGGAGATTATGATGTGGATCGCAAAATAAGAATAGGATATGTCATTTTATGACCACAAGGGGATTAGTCCTTTCCTGCTGACTGAATTTAATGTGTTGGCAATCATTAATTGGGAATAAAAGTATCTGATATTAAAGAACACTTGAGAGATCATGCTGTGCAGCTTAAATGCAAGCAGTCATTGTTCCAACAGGTGAACTAAGACGTATGTGTCTGTTCAGGAATTGAAAATAAAAGTCTCTCTTTAGTCTCTCAGAAAACCCTTAATTGTAGCTGAAACATTTAGCTCTGCCTGTATAAAGAAACAGTACTCACGGCTTCTTAAGATCCATTCTAATTTGGCTGTCTTAGGGACGCTGCAAAGAACAAAACCAAACAATGAAAACTGATATAAAAATAAAAGCCTAGACAAGCAAGCAACAGATGGCCCGTATAGCACATTTCCAAGAACTTCAAATATATGAAGTTTTATGAGCTCCATACTTACCTGAGAGCCATTATCCAGCCACCCCCTCATGTCCTCTTGGCACACAACAAGCTGCTGCTGGCGCCCTCTGGAGGGGCAGGCGGGGGGCATTCAGCTTCCACGGAGCAGGGGCAGCTTGCCAACGGGCTCTTCCTGCTGATAGTTGCAGCCCGGGGCACATGCAGTAAACTTGCTAAAAACCATGACCTTCCTCCATCTGACATGCTTTCAGGTAAGCTCATTGCAGGCCAAGAACCAAAGGTTCTTTGAAGCACTCGGGGGCTTCTTCCACCCCATCGTCTGCCCGGGAGGACAGGTTGGGGCTTGTTGGTACGTCAGTGGTCCCTTTTGGCCTCAGTGTCTGGCGGTGTGCTAACAGTCTGCAGTGCGGCACTGACGGGGCAGCCTCCTTAAGTCCTCAGTTCTCCTTAAGTAAGAATTGAGTTTCCCAGCAACAAGCGTGGTTATTTTTGTAATGCAAAGCATTTGGGGATGACTTGCTCTCTAATGGGCGATTAGGACTCCATAGCTTTCCAAAAGGCCTGCTTCTGTTTGAGAACTGTTTTGCTTTGTTTTGTTCTAGTATGGATCAATATTGTAGCCTAAATGTTTGGACTTGTGAGGACTGGAGCTAAATTCAGTGGAGCAGGGAATGGTGGGGACAGATGACATCAGCAGCCTTGCTGATCAAAGGTTGTCAGGCTGTCCACCCCGCGCTTTCGGTCAGCCTCTCTGTTCCTTGCCTGGAGCTGGAAGCCACTTGCTTTGGCACCAGACCCAAGGCTCAGGGAGCAATCTGCTCCACACTGCCTTTTCCTCATGGTGGAGTGTTTGGGGTGCTGCTCCCATCCAACTTCTTCCCTTCTGCATCCCGGCAGCCTTGCAGCAGGACTAAGCAGCATCAGCCCGCAGAAGTTGCAGGCCACGGGGCTGGTCCTTCCGGCCACCCAGAACACGAACAGTTGGCACGTGCCAACCCAGGCAAAGGCACCGGAGAGGGACGTGCTCTCGTTTTCTCGTCTGGGGAGTCGGACACAGAGTCCGTCAAGGAGAGGCATTAAGCTTTGGTGGCAGAAGTGGTAGTGGAGTGAATGGGGAGGACCGTCATGAAGCAACTGATGCTGCGCTTTGGGGGGCCTCCCAAGCACCTGCTTGCATCACCCCCTGGAGCTCAGAAAACTCTGAGCACAATGGCGCTGTGGAATTAGAAGTGATGCATGTGCTAAACAAAGGCGTGTGCTCATGAGCCAAATTCTCTAGAATCCCCAGATGTACTATCCATTCTAGACTTCCTACAGCAGGGGTCTCAAACTCACGGCCCGCTGGCCAATTGCGGCCGGTGCGATGATATTTTGTGGCCCCCACTTGATATCAAAGTTTAGTGATAGTGCGGCCCGCGCGTTTTTCTCACACGCACCTGCGTGAGTCGTTACCCTGGGCGCAATGTTCCCTCCAAGCTGCGCGCCGGGCCGGGCAGGGGACGGGAGGGGCCCTGCGGCCTTCAAATGTGGCTCAGCTGTGTAAGAGGAAGCGCTGTCAGGTCTCTGGCAGCAAGGAGTAGGAGGAAGTAAGAGAAGTCTGTGTTCTGAAGAACCGTTCAGGTTCTGAATTATTAGTAGTAAAGATTGAGAAGATTGGATCAGTTGTACTTTTTTTGGAATACTTGAAATCCCTTTTTTGTGGAATACTTGATGCGGCCCAGCCTCACCCAGACTCTACTTCCAGCGGCCCCCAGGTAAGTTGAGTTTGAGACCCCTGTTCTGCAGGATGCGCTTTGAGAGGTCTCAGCATCCAGATTTCAAGTTGGCATTTCTCACTTGTCTCAGCACCTGGATGTAAGGGGAATTCTTCTCTTCCTATCCCTTTTATTTGCACATCCAACTCCCCTGAGCATAATTCAGTAGACCACTAGTTCCCCTAACTGGTGCTTCTGTTAGGTCAAGGCCTTTTGAACCGATGTCTGCTTAAGAGTGCTTAACCTTGTCTTTAGTGGCCATTACCACAGCTAGGCAGATGTAAGAGGTGGGAGTATGTAGGTAAAATCATAACTGAGTTTCTTTCATCTCAGTAAGATGGTGCCTAGGTAAAGCTCAGCCTTTATGCCAAAAGTCAGCTCCACAGGAGGCAATTCTACCTTCCTTCTGCCCAAACTCTGTGCATCCCTGGAAGAAAAGCTTGAGATGGTTTGCCTGAGCAGAGAGCCATACACTTCTTTCTGAACCAGGTCTTGCTTTATAGTAAGTTGGGCTCTTTTGATGTCTTTCAAGGAGAGAAAAGGTTTTAAAGTGGTTTTATCTGGTACGTGAAAGTGTCATACTGTGTCTTAGAAAATATCTGCCAATTGTGTCAGCTGCTTTCTGGAAGACACCTTCCCTAGATGGAAGTTTCAGGGCACCAAAGGCGCCCTTCAACGAGCTGGCCCTTCCCTCTCACAATGCATAGGAGGGGGCAATGCGGAGAATGCAGAATGTGCCCCTGCCTCTTCCCCCGACAGAAACTTCCAGGTACGAAATTCGTAGGGTTTGTGCACATGTGCAGGGTGACTGGGATGCTTTCTGCAGTGGATGCCCCACCAAGGGGGCAGTGATAGAAAGGAAAATAGCACTGGTTCCATTTAGGTATTTTTTTACATGTTTATTCCACCTCAAGAGTTTATTCTATCACAGGATCCTAAAAGTGCCACTGTCTGAAGACGTTTGGTAGTCACAAGAACATACTTATATTCAAATTCCAAGGTCTCCCATTTGCTTCCTGAAATGCTGCATGTGTCACGCCCTTAATGCACGGTGATCACCTTAAATTTGGCACACTTGACAGGCGGTTTTTATTGCACCAAATGAGTTGGGGGAGAGTCCACACTCAGGCTTAACCCAAATAGGTCACCTCACTACTCTTCAAGCACGAGCACAAGCCTTTGCTGGGCCAGAGCACTGCAATAAAGAACCATTCAATCAGCGGCCCAGTTGTAACCATTCCTTCACGAAAGAGCTTAGTCCAAGTTGTGAGCGACCCTGTGAATCCAGATCTCTTGGAGCGGGCTGCATTTCATCCATGATGGTGACGATGAATCCCACATGTGTTTAGAAGTATTTCCTTCTTCTTTGTTGCTTCATATATTCTACAGTTCTGATACTGCAAAGTGGTTCTAAATATTTAGGAATGTTCTTCTGATAATGCCCTTATCCACCCACCCCCCGTCCCATGAAGATTCTTTTCAGGTTTGCATTGGGCTGCAGTGGGGCAAATATTCCTTTCCTAGGAACTCTTTATTCCCAATTAAAACTCTTCAAAATTATCTGTACACCCCAAAATAAAGGAACATTGTAGTTTGTGAGACAGAAGCAGCTTTCCAATGATCTATTCCTCCTTTTATCCTTTTGCTCACTATTTGCTTCGCCCACAGATGTTAAAGTAATCCTCGTCTCATGTGCAGTTAATCTTTGCTAATCATACTTCTCCCATGCTGGGAATGTCAGATGCAATGTTTGTGTCCCATGTTATCATGAATGTTTTGTTTTATTGGATGTTACCACAGTATCTGCACTATAAGAAAAGAACTCACATGTAAATTTATAAACAGGGGTCGGTTGTATGCCACGCTGGGACCCAACTGGCGGGTACCAATTCGGAGCTCTCCCAGAAGTCGGAGCTGTGTTTACAGGTACAACTAGGTGGTGGGTGTCTCTCCCCAGGCTGTGGTGCACATTCTTCCTCTCAACCTGGTTTTCCTAATTTTAAAAGGCTGTTTCCAGTAGCATTTTCATTTCCCCACTTCCATCTGCACAGAGACTTTACTGCCAAGAATCTGAAGACTCTTTGTATCTTCATTCGTCTGGTTTTTCACCTCCACGCCACAGAAGGATTGGCCATGTTTACATGCCATGCTGTTTATGATTCACACATGTGCTGTCCGCTCCTTTTCACCGTCATACTGAAAGTGCAAGTAATTCAGGGCACACAATCCGGCCCAGCGCTTTGAAAGACGCACTGAGTCCAATGACCTCAGGCCCTCCAAATCCTTTTGCTTCCGATGAAAATTATACACACAGAGATTCTAGGCTATGACAAGCAGGTGATGAAAAATACTGCTGTTTATGCCCACAGGAGAGGCAATAGCTGAGGCCTTCTGCTGGAATTGTAAGCATGAAGAGCAGTCTGGTTCACTTTATTCCAGAAGTCCCACTTCCTTATGCTCTATTTGCATTAGTTAGCGTACTAAGTGTTGAATTAGGCTGGGTCTCAAGCCAGATCTTTTGTTTCCACTGTCACTTCTCACACAGCTGATTTAAAAGCAAACTATTTCCTTACAGGTAGTCAAAAATCTAGGTGTGCATTCTGTCTTACATGACAAATAGCAAAAACACTCGTTTACAAGCCGGTGAAGCAGCTTAGTAAGAAACATCTTACCTGTTATTCCTAAATTAGAGTGAAATTTGTGTGAAACGCAAAAATGTATGTGATGAAAAAGAAATAGGTGCAAATGCTCTTGTGGTCATTCTGACCAGTTTGTCTAAGGTTAGCCAGAAGGAAGGAAAAAGTTCTTCGCACATCTTGTCAGGGCTGCCTCTTTTCCTCTTCACAACCACCGGACTCTGCTAGGCTTTGGGAAGACCTGACCAAAGGTGATGCGAGCACATGTGTGAGCCAGTGAAGGCGCGACTTCACATTCTCAACAATCTTGCCCTAAAGCACATTTTCCATTCCAGTCTTTATTTTGCCTCCTTTTATCTCATCCCATCTGTGTACCGTTTTGTATAAATATTCCCTAAAAATGTTAGCATTTGTATACAGCCTGCACTGGGTAGATTACGGTCTTTGATAGTACGGTACCTTATGCTGTGTCGCGCTAAGAGATACTTTGGATTTGTTCATGTAGATAGAAATGTAGCATATTTCTGGCTCTTGTTCACTCTGAATTAGACACCAGCATTTGGCAAAATGGGCTCTTGTTCACAAAAGCTTTTGCTGTCATTACATTGCTAGGCTCTAAGGCACCAAAAATGCTTTCATGTTGATGATGCAAGGTTTTAATTTCTGCAGGTGCAAGCAATGGGTGTCTAGAGACGTGGGGTTGAAAGGGGGATGGAGAACTAACCAGCTCGGAGCAAATGCTTAGCAAGGGATCCACTGCCCTGGATAGGTTTGCTGAAACAGCAGGAATGCTCTCACTGAGCAAGGAGTTGGGGTTTCAAGAGTTGCTGCGTTCAAGAGATGCTCATGGGGAGGCCAGGAGAAGGCTTAGTGTTTGGCAAGGTTTTATGTCCTGAAGACCCCATCAAGGAGAGCCAGCTCCTCCTGGTGCTCACATGCACCGTGGCCTCTGAAGAGCTCCCCTTTCTCTTCTGAGGAGCTCTCATCTAGCATGGGCTCTGAAGTCTGGCACTTCCTGACAGCAGACTAAAACGGCACCTCTGTTACCCCAAGAACAGAAAATCTTCCGTGATAAAAATGGAACTACTAAGCAGTCTGCTCAGTCAGGTGCGTCAGTATCTTCAACATCTTTACGCTTAAGGCATCTTGCTACATAGGTGAAGGGTGCCATGTACAGAAGCAATTGTGTGTATACTCTGCACTTGCAAAGGTGTGAACACCAGAGGAGGGCAATTCAGATTGCTGCTGGTCCAGCTGTCCGGTTTAGCTCACATGCTTGTGCATTTGGCACAAGTCCGTGGTGGAGCTGCATGGGATTAGCTCAATTCCTGGACTGGGGCCTTGGTTGAGGGTCACCAAAGAATGCAAGCATGTGGGCAGAAGGAAACCCAAGGTCAGTTGCTACAGTCGCTGTTTATTGCCATGTTCCCCTCTCTACTGAAGCAGCCGCAGTTCGCTTGCATAGATCTGCGTGAAGCAGGAGTGAGAGCACAGGTTTTCCAACTTCAGCTCCAGGCAGGCTGCACTGACCTCTGGAAATGATCCCCATACACGTCTGACAGTATGGTTTATCGATCCAGGAATATGTCAGGTGGGAAATTCCTACTAGGCCAACATGTGACTGGTCAGCCAAGCCCTTCCGTGTTTATTTAACTTAGATGTAAACACTGCACTGCGATCTCAAAGGGCTCTCTTCTATGCTTTGACAAGGTGTGTTTCTTTTCTCCTATTGCCATAATTTGACCAACAGGAGTCCATTGTTTCTTATATCTGAAGGTCAGGGTACTTGCATCACTCATATTGCCAGATGCTACAAATCAGGGTTTTTAAGTGCAGTGTGATACTAATGAAGGGAAAAATAAAACGCTGAGGAGCCCATTTGGGAAAGGATTGGTTGCAAAAGACAGGAAAATCCTGTATAAACGTTGTATGCCTTCATCATGGGGTTCTTTGTCCATTTTGGGCTGCTCCCACCAAAGTGTAAACACTTCTCGCTTCAGCCCCACAGGTGCCTGCAGCTGCACATCAGGGAGTTCGATGGGAGTTGTCACCATGGAAGGGCCTTTAAGAAGGAAGACACTACTGAAAGAAGGCAGGAAGCCTACGGTATGTGGGTATGTGGGGGGGGGGGTCACTTGAGACATGTTCTTACACCCATGAATAGCATTTGTAGGCAATGTCATGGCAGCCACAGAAAACAGCAGAGTGCCAAAGGCGCCCTGAGCTGTTCCTGCTCCAAGAGGCAGGAGTGACCGGCCATCTCATTCTCCTTCACAAACACATCATTTTCCAACCAGCAGCTGCACATGACTCCACTTTTGGTACGTGGTGCATTAGTTTCCTAGGTGTGCATTGTTATTTTCAAGGAATGAATTTGTGAAGGTGGGAAACAAGAAGGTGCACACAAGGACAAAGCACCTATAACTTAAAATACTTGTTATAGCTTAAGGCAGGTGCATCTTTTCATCACTGTCTGACAAACGGTGCCAGCCAGAAATCGGATTTCAGTACACGTCTTAAAGGTCTAAGAGCAGTACGTAACCCTTTTTTTGGACATGAAGACAGAACGACTGATTGGTTTCCTTCAAGGCAAATATGACTTCATATCTGAAAGCCAGTTTGTCTCCAGTGGCTTTGCCTTAAGTATTTTCCTGAGCTTTCCCCAGAATGCTTTCCCCTTCTTTTAACAGTTCTGCCATCGACATGCTCCTTTATAATTTCAATCATTTTTCTCTTTTCAGCTTTCTTCATGGACTAGATACTGGGTTACTCTTTCAGGATCTACTCTCATTTACTTTGGAGCAAAGTCATTAAGAGGCACTGAAAGAAAGCATGTAAGAAAAAAAATGGTTTATTACGTTAACCTTGCATACAGGATATGCACATCCACTCAGAGGCTACATCATGCCTGCATTTGTGTGGGAAACGCAATTGCACTGCTGGATTCTGTACTGGGAACTAAAGCAGCCCAGGGTGACATGGCAAGCCAACTCACCACTGCTCTTGTCTGTCTCTTCTAGTATAAATCTACTCCAGGAAAAAAGGTTTCCGTCGTGGGCTGGATGGTAGCACTGCCCGATGACCCTGAACACCCTGATATTTTCCAGCTAAATAACCCGGATAAAGGTAGGCATCTTTACTGGACTTCTGTAGTACATCATATATGCTGAGTGAGAATGATGGTGATTCAGTTTTTGCTAAAATATGTCATACAGTACAAGCCGCTGTGGACTAGTTTCTCCTCCATCAGCTGCACAAACTGTTAAAGGAAAACATAGAAACATAGAAAACAGATCAAGTCAGAAGGGGCCTCCCAGGCCATCTAGTCTGACCTCCGGCTCCGCTCATGACATGCCCACCATGTGCACGTCCAGCCTATCCTTGAACACCCGCACCGATGGGGCCTCAACCACCTCCCGGGAAAGCCCATTCCACACCCCTGGGGTCCTAACCATCAGGAAGTGCTTCCTGGCACCAAAACTGAACCTTAGTTCCCTGAGCTTTGCTCCGTTGGAGCACATCCTGCCCTCCTCTGCAGGGGAGAACAGGTCTCTACCCACCTCCGTGTGACGTCCCCTCACATACCTGGATGTCGCCAACAGATCCCCTCTGAGTCTCCTCTTCTCTAGGCTGAAGAGACCCAGTTCCCTCAGTCTCACCTCATATGGCATCCCCTGCAAACCAGCCACCAACCTTGTGGCCCTGCGCTGCACTGACTCCAACCTGGCTATATCCTTTCTGTAACGAGGGGCCCAAAACTGAACACAATACTCCAGTTGCGGGTGCACTAGAGTCATGTAGAGTGGTAGTAATACCTCTCTTGATCTAGAAGCCACACTTCTGGCTATGCAACCAAGGGTGGCGTTCGCCCTCTTGATCCCCGAGTCACACTGCTGACTCGTGTTTAGCCTGCAGTCAACCAGCACCCCGAGGTCCCTTTCACAAGTGCCGCTCTCCAGCCACTTGTCCCCTAACCTGTACTTATGACACCCATTCCTATGCCCCAAGTGCAAGACCTTGCACTTATCCACATTGAACACCATCCTGTTGGCTCCTGCCCACTTCCATAGTCTGTCCAGATACTTTTGGATCTGGAGTACCTGCTCCTCAGTTGTGGCCACTGCTCCAGTTTTAGTATTGTCTGTGAATTTGTTCCGCAGACTGTTCACCCCTCCTTCCATGTTGTTAATGAAAAGATTAAACAGGATCGGCCCCAGGACAGAGCCCTGGGGGACCCCGCTTGTCACTGGCCGCCATCCAGATGATTCCCCGCTAATGCTTACCCTCTGCTTTCGGTCAGTCAACCATGCCCTAATCCACCAGACAGTGCTTTGGTGTATCCCAAAACTCCTCAGTTTCTCCACCAGGATATCATGGGGCACTTTGCCAAAGGCCTTGCTGAAATCCAGGTATACCACATCCACTGCGTCCCCTCCATCTAGCCATCTCGAAACCTTGTCATAGAATTCCACAAGGTTTGTCTGGCAGGACCTGTTTTTGCGGAAGCCGTGTTGTGTGGCTGCCAGCCTCCCTTCCCTATCTAGCATCACTAGATCTCTATTATGAGCCTTTCCATTGTTTTTCCTACGATGGACGTAAGGCTAACCGGTCTGTAATTCCCCATGTCCCTTCTACTACCCTTTTTGAAAACTGGGACCACTGATGCCACCCTCCAGTCCTCTGGAACTTCACCCGTTCTCCACAAGGTCTCAAAAATGGGAGGCCAGCGGGCGTGAGAGAATCCCTGCCAACTCTCTAAGTATTCTCGGGTGCAACCCGCCAGGGCCTGGCGCCTTTGTAATGTCCAATGCCTGAGGAGCCCCTCAACTTCAAGGGGGGTGACTCTAATCAGTGCCCCTAAGTCCCCAGCCTCATCTAATCTCCTATGCGGATATCCCCCGTCCTGCTTAGGGGAGAACGCAGAGGCAAGAGTCATTTAGCATCTGTGCCTGTTCCCTCGTATCAGTCACTGGATCTCCTTCCTCCTTATTTAGTGGTCCCACCACTTGTCTCCCCTTCCTCTTCCTATTTACATGCTGAAAGAAGCCCTTTTTGTTGCTCTTGATATTCTTGGCAAGTCTCAGCATGTAATCAGCCTTAGCCGTGCAAAGAATCCTTCTGCAACGGGCCTCCTCCTCCCGGTATACCCTTTTGTCTATTTCCCCCAGAACCCATTTCCTACGGAGGTTCCTCTTTCGTCTAATCCCTCTAACCACCTCCTTTCGCATCCATGGCGGCGCTCTCCTCCACCTCCCCACCTTACTGACTAGAAGTATCATCAAGGCTTGCACCTCCAAAACCTCCCTTTTGAGTGCCATCCACCCCTCCTCAACTCGCTTATCTTCCAGTCTGGCCTATGGGTAACCTATCCCAGGGGACTTTCCCCAGTCTGGCCTCCAGGTAGCCAAAGTTGGCCCTCTTGAAGTCCCAGCTTCTAGTGCTCGACCTGCTGCCCGTCCCCAGTCCCTTGATCTCAAAGCAAAGGATGGAGTGATCACTCGCATCCAGAGCTCCCCTA